GTGGTAAAGAAGAGCACATGATCATCAACAGCCTTTACTAGTCCACTGCTCGACATAGGCCCCTCCTGTCTAAGGATAGGCCTATGTCCAGCAAGCGTTCATGGGAGGCGGTAGTCGCTTTCCATCAGGTGACCCGTCTCTTCGTTTAACCCCTATTTCATTTAAAAAAAAGGAAAAAGGCTTTGAGCTACTATACTACTCTGGCCAGACGGTTTGGTATAGGGTTTGTTTTAAATCTATATAAGTAAGGAGCAAAGCCACGAGTTATTATAATTCTCAGACTGTTAGGGCTAGTCACAGCTTTCTTCTACCGTACACTATTGCCGACACGCTACCGTTTAATATCAGTAAAAGTAATAAAAAAATTACCATCACCGTTAATAATTCAATTTACCGTAAAATACTATTATATTGTATCATGAAATGTGTCATTTTCATTGTAATTAATTCTAGAAGAGGTTTACGGTAAATAAATAATTATTGATTTAAGAGTATATATTCTTCTGAAATACCATATTTTTTTAAATATGATTAGAGACTTCACTTCTCTGGTTTAAGACGCATGCGTCGACAACAACCCGGATCAACCATTTTTATCTTTAATAATTTCCACAAGGTTTTTTTCATGATACATAGAATAATCAGACGTCGGTGATTAAAGTTCGACCATAATTTGTAACAAGATTTGTCATATTTGTGATATAATTATACGTTTTAATTATATATATATGTATACCTAATGTATCTATGTGGTATAACATCTTAAATGATAACAACTTAAAATAATTTATTTTATCTGCTCTAGTTATACGCCTGCCACATACATACACATGCTGCACCTACATCACTCAAAGGCTGACTGGAACAAAATGTCTATACCATTAAGTCCACCTCATGCAATGTATTTGCAGGCAGTATAGAATAAATTAATAAAATCTATTAATTTTACAGTAAAAGTTAGTATAATAATAGTAGTTTAAAAGTTTATTACTTCTAAACTATCGCGTTCCACAATAATAGTTAGACTATTATTGTATAAATGTTTGTAACACTATACAATGAAACAGTTTCCACATATTTTTCTAAAATTTATCACACCTTATAATCAAAAAACTGTTTGTGAGAGTCGAAAACACGATTAGCCTTAATTTATATATTAGAAATCTTAAAACAATAGAATATCTAACTAAGAAAGGATCCAGATTTAAACAATGTATTGGTGATTTATGTTTTAATTGATTGTATTGTGTTTTATGCGTTAAATAAACAAAAAAGAAATGTGTGTTAAAACTTTTCTTTTGCGAATTCTCCTGCTATGCACAGTCACGACATCCGTAGAAAATCCATCTTCAAAACGGGCCCGAATATAAAAGTTTAAATGAATATTACGCATTTTCATGTAACTTGTAAATTGTGTTTTTTTTTGTGTAATAAGATGACTTCTCAACTTAATTCCAAGTTAAATGGCTTATTTTGTAGAGGTAAATCTGAGAGGTCGGTGGTCGTGCCGTGTGTTAAAAACTCTTAGTAATCTCTTTAACTGAACTCTCTTAACTCTAACAAATTATGAGACCTTTTTAATTCGTACAATAAAAATACATGTATATAAGTAAGTAACTGATGCCCGCAGCTTTGCTTGCTATAAAGTTATTTTGGTAACATTCGAGTACAGTTACTCGATAGTAGATTTAGTTCTCTATTCTAGATTTTAGATAGCTTCATTCTGTTATTTTCTAGATCTTAGGATATTTTTTTTTATAATATTCGGTTAAATGGATGACATGAAATTCACGTTGTGAAAGTTACAAACAGAATAACTCACGCACAGAAAATGATAAAAATGAATAACATAACATAAAATATTATAGCTTATACCGAATATAAATATTTTCAATTCTAAAATCAATAAAAACGATTTTAAACTTAAATCATCAGCAATTTTGTTTTGCCTGTGGAGGAACGGGCGCTATGTCCCTCATAAACAAGATTTTTCGACCAGTCGAGGTGATCATACCTCGGTTGGTGTTAGAAGTTGTATACATACATAACAAAACTTTCAATGAGCGATGCAGAATCCTCCTCCAGTAATTAATCCATAGTACGTTGCGTCTACCTTAGAGGGTACCGTAGTATGTTCATCGTTATATGTGGAAGTTGTCGCTTATCACATCATCACATCAACAGCCTATACTAGTCCACTGCTGGACATAGGCCTCTCCTGAGAAAGGAGGTTTTGGTTTTGTCGCTTATATTTAATAAATATACAAAACAGCCATGGCGCTATTTCATAACGTACAACACTTTCCTTTATTTTCATTTAATTGATAAATTAACAGCGCGCCAGTGTATATAATCATGGGAACAGTTTTTTTTATCAAAATGTCGGTTTTTTAACTATCGAGTAACTGTTTCTAATTCATCAAACAGTTAAGAAATAAAGGCCGCTGCCAAATTTAATTTCATAGCTTTTAACTGCGATTGGTTTCGGTATTGTGTAATAGATGGTTTTTACGGTTACGGATGGGTTACCGGTGCTGTCGTACCTATGGCCCGTGAACTGTGACGCTATGAGTTGTCAACACAACAAACAAAAAAAAAACAAAAAACTTTAAGTATTACACCGGTACTTATCCAAGCCCTAATTTTTAATAGGAATTCATAAAAAAAAACAAATACTGATTAAGGAACACATTGCACAGAAACTTAATAATTTCCTTTTTTTTTTCTTAATCTCAAAACATGTTCGTAGTTGGTGTTATAGGTATGCGACCCTGACCGTTTCTTTTCTTAACTTGCCTTCCCTTCTTATATTCATTTTTCTTTCAACTTACTTCTTAATTTTCCCATTTTTTATTTTCAAAATGCTCTGTTGACTTCTGCCTTTTATGTGAGACGGACCAAATATAAATAGCAACATTTAAGTGTCCTATTAAACTTCTGCCTTACGTAAACATAAATTTGAAATCTTATTTACATGTATTTTTTGGTTTTGAATAAATCCGACGACTTTGACCCATTTTTTCGCAAACGATTTTGTAAACATTAGAAGTCGAATTGGTTCAACATGTAAAAGATAAAAAATCAAAGAGTTTTCACCACTACCACAGCACATACCGCCAATAATACGGTCGTCTACCACCATAAGGCACCATTCCTTTATTGACTCAAACTTCACTTAACGTAAAAAGGAGTGTTTTAATATCACTCACCGGAGTCATCACTGCTCCTGTGTTAGACGGCTCCCAAACGTGGCGTATACACCCCTCCCTTCACCCCTCTCAGCCGCCGTTACTGTAACATTCACACACAGAACATTTTTCTTTTCATGAAAAAAACTTATTTTTGTTTCAGGTAAGTACGATCGCCCTGGAGCGAAATATTTTGTGAATAATGGCGGTAAGGAGCTGTCAGTTTCACTCTTGTTTATCAGATGTTGTAATCTCGGTTGGTTTTAAATACAGGTATGTTCAAAGTTATTTTATCAGTAAAAAGGTTCGTCTTCTCTTAATAATACTTTTAATCGGTTTGTAAAGAAACTAATTTCAAAATTTGTTATTGAGTAAAAATGTTATTAGTGATGGATTATTTATTCTTACAGGAGGTTTGGTGCGTGGCTTGGTGCCTTACAGTGTGAGACACCTAAGTAAACACTACAACCAAAACGATAACAAACAATTCTATCAGGGCTTATTCGATTTTTATGTAATATGCTACACTGTTTACTGTGCCTTATCTCGAAAACCAAACCTACACATACAAACAAATAATATACAAAACACAAAACATTTTTATATTAGAATTAAAAAAAGAGTGGTTTAGTGGTTTAAACGGCCACCTCGCCGCCTGCCACTGCGCGTAAGTGTTGTGGGTTCGATTCCCACATGCGACCTCACTTTGTGTGATCCATAAAAAATAATTGTAGTCCAGGGTCTGGCTTTTCTTGTGTCCGTTTCATCTATGTCTGTAAAGTCCCTCGCAACACAGGATTATAATTCTAGTGCGGGAGATGTCTTTAAAAAAAATACCGTTTTTACCGTACTGCGCCAAGAGGAGGGTTAAATATTTTGAGTGTAGATATGTAAGTACACATGTATATTTCTTAGAAACGCTGTTTAGTCTAAACGGTGTGATGGATTTTAGCTTGGGATGTGTAGTTAGATTCGTCTTAATTGTGAGAGTTTGAGAAAACTATAAGTATTAAAATCGCCGGTTTGTAAATGTTGATGTAACAATAACGAAACAGTCATTAAAGTTTTATTGATACTATACTCGTATAATATAAATATAAATGTGCTTTCTCTTCACTTCTACACTCACGGTAAAGTAGTTATTACCTAAATACTTTAAAAGTACGAAACACCTGAAGTCTTTCTTTTTTGAGTTTATAATCCTGCCCAAAAGTAACACTAAATAAAGGATACAACAGTTTCGTTATTTTTGCGCACGGAGGGTCCTAGATAAATAATGTTTGGAAAAAAAACTAAAAGTATAGTAAAACTTTAAAAATAAGATATTCCATGGATTCGTCATCACGTCGCGTCATCCCGATGAAGATATACAGTCACGTTTTGCGAGAGTAGTGAGATATCTAGAATGAAGAGCTATATTTTATCCTTATGATTATAACTTTATCAAACAAATGGAGTTTCAAGTCATGCGCGTCTTATGAAAAGCTAATAAGTAAAGCTATTGTAAGGAACACAACTATTATTTGGCTTCAAATATAACAGTTATTTAAATATTAAATTAGTAACATAACATTAACATTAAATATTACATTAGATATTTAATTCTATAAGACCATTATCGAATTTAGCAGATCGAAAACTACATGTGCCATAAGTTGTAAACTAAAATTTAAACTGTGAATATTATTACAGAGCTATTTATTGTTTCCAATTCAAAGAAGATAGAGAAGTCAGATCAAATCACCTTCTTACTTGCTATTTATGTTTAACTAATAATATGCATTTCTACAGAAAATGACAATTTTCCACAGGCTATGGTGGATACGGCCACACAACACTTTCAATCCAACCAACATATCTCGCAACCCTTGTGTATACACCTGGTGCCATCTTTCGGCCACAGTCTCTCCCGAAAGAAGTAACCCCCACTATTTTGTAAAATGGAAAAGTACGTATGCAGTCTATTTTGTCTTCTATTACCTGTATCGGGCCACCTGAGTCACCTTGACAGGTATCCCGGCCGCCATTACTATAGTCACCAGCACACAATTGATTTTCAGTGATCCCATCAGCTAAAAGCTTCTTTTTAATCAGGAATTTCATAGACTTATTACAAGTCACCCTGTCAATTGGATCCACATTCACCGTCATCATAGTCTTACTCCCCTGGAACGCACTGGATGAAGTCTTCCCAAAACCAGTTACTGTCATATTCAAATGACTGATATTCTCCCCCAAATGTAGGCAAGCAATTCTTACGTCTCGATTTATGATAAATAGAGGTTCCACTTTCATTAGGGCTATGTCATGATATTTCGATGGCGGTTTATAACCCGGATGTGAAACAATTTGCGCAACAGGTCTTTCTTGAATCAGTTCATCTAACTCGTCAAATTCGAAGGTCGCTATTCCAATCCTTATGATCTGAGCTTTACCAAATTCTCTGTCTTCAATGCAGTGGGCTGCGGTCAACACCCACGAGTGACTGATCAAACTCCCACCACATTTCCAGACTGGTGTATCTTGATCACTGTTTCGAAAACCTATTAGAGCCATATGAGGATATAACAGAACATCCACTGGGACACGAACTCTTGATCTCGGGAACAATACATTGTGACATTCCAGCATCAGCTGCCCGTAGTATCTGCAAGCTCTGAATGCCTTTTCGCCAATCGCAGAACTTTGAAAAGCTGTAGATGTTAATATTATCATTAGCTGGATATGTATCATTTTGTTTTAGTTACATTGAGTCTTGTCATATTACGTGATGATTTGAAAGAAACTGCCAACTGTTGTTTATTTTTCCGATCTTTTAATTATTATTTTTTGGAGCACTTGCACACAGGTGTTATCAACAATTTTGCATGCCGACTGAACAGCACAGCTTGACAACCGGTTATAATCTGAGCATATCCAATCGATATCCATTCTAAATTGAATAAAAAGCGCGCCAATCCCTACATTTTGTGTGATTATTCCGTTTTTATTATGCAATATTTCATTATCATTAGGCACAATAATGCGTAAGATTCGTATTTTTTAGGATTTAAATTTTTAGTTTTGAATTAAATCAACTAGCTCTAATTATATATAATACTGCTTCTTTAATATTAAGAGATACCTACCTACCGCTATTGGTCATTCTTTCAGTTTTTTTATATCTATTGTTATATGTATCATCATCCATAACAGACTTAACCAGTCCACTGCTGGACATAGGCCTCTCCTTAGAAAAGAGGGGTGGTGACACTCGGTATTCTTAATCCGTTACCACACGGACACTTTACCACATCAATACTTATTTAATCATAGATTCAAATAGTTACAAGCTAAAATGCACCTTGAAATGGTAAATAATAATGAAAAATACGAAAGGAAAATCTTTCCTAGTTTTCTAACGCCCGAGAGCTATTTCTTGTAAGAAAGAAATTGGCAAGTGTTCCAGAAACGCAATCAGGTAGGACTACAAACTTTAATCAGCGCTCATACGCCTCTGTGGCGATACACTGATTTAAGAAGCTTCGGCATCGTCTCCCTTGTACGACGTTTAAAGAAAGAGAGAAAGTGAAAATATTTATGTACCGATATGTTGAATTACTCTTTACTGATCAGATTTTCTTGATTTAGAGCTAAGAACCTTAAGGTCGCTTTTCATACGACAAAATTTAAATCGGAATCGAATTACTTAACACGTTACACACACACATACACCATATGTATAAAAACTAAGTATCTCCGGTGATATAGATATTTACTACACTTATGTATTTTAAAAAATACAGATTTATAATCTGTATACTTATATATAAGTTACAATCAAGGCGTAAAACAGATAAATATTTGTCTTAGGTAACATCGAACCCACGACTTCTTGCTCAGCAGTTAGGACCCTAACCACTACACTATTAGACGAATCTAATAATTAATAAAAATCGTTTAAATTGTTAGCTTATAAATTTTCACTCCATATTTTTAATACGTTTTTGTTTGGTTAAACTGATATTGAATCTAATATTCATTTGTTATCGTTCGCAGTGTTATTACACAAGCAAATAGTAAATCTTCATTTCGCAGCGCAATGTTGACGATACAACGAAATTGGTTTTGGGGTTGCCAATCTGATATTCAATTAGCCTCCGAATATATTAGAGACTGGTAACACTAACACTAGATAAGTAAGTGAATAATATTAGGTCTTTACTCCGATTATGATTATATTGCATAAATTTGAATGCATAAATAAGAATGATTTTCTAGGTGTATAATTATATGCAAAAAATTGTATTGATCAACCGTTATCTATCTGTCATTTTCGGACATCTGACACACAACGCCATCTAGTTTCAAACTATATCTATTTGTTTATTGTATTTTTTTTTTTTTTTTTTTTTTTAAAGACAACTCCCGCATTAGGAATATACCCTGTGTCGCTGGGGACTTTACAAACATACATGAAACGGACACAAAGAACACCCAGACTCAGAACAACAATTTGTGGATCACACAAAGTGTCGTCCCATGTGGGGTTTGAACCCACAACACTCGGCGCAGTAGGAAGCGGCGTGGCGACCACTTAAACCACTGCGCCATATGTGCAGTCGAATCATTCGAATGAAATCATTGTTGTAAAAAAGTAATCGTAAACGCAATTAGTAATGAATATACAAATATTTTAGAAGTCGAAAGTCTCATAATTTGTATAGCAAACCTCTTTCAAATATTGTAAGCAATTATTCATGCTATGTTTAGATTTAGATAATGTTACTAAACTATTTATAAACTACTACCATATATATATTTCCTTCTTTAAAGATAGTTTTTTCATTATCTTAACCTTGAGAAAAACAGATTCATTTAGAACATTTTCATTGAAATCCGTTCAAAAATAACGAAGATATCCCGGAGTTTAAATTATATTTAAGTACAAGAAAATTATCTCACACATAGTTTACAACAAGGCGGGTGTTGTATGCATACATACACCATGCTAGAGTGTGATGTCAGTACTTAATAGTACAGAAGTCGATGGAGGCCGGGTCGACCCACATGCGCCCCGATTGCTCTCTCCAGACGGTTCTTGTTGAGAAATACGAATATATAGAGGTGCCTATGATGTTTTTATAGAGTTCAAAATTATTTGATTCATATCCTAAACGTTAAATTAGGTAATAGTCTTCGCAATTGAATTGGCGAAATTAGAACTGGAAAACGCACTTTTTGTGTGTGTTTCTCACGAAATTATCTTTGTCAGTTAAACAAGTCTTGATGTGTTTCCCTACTGGAGAATGTCTGCTAAGTTAGAACAATGAGTGTGTGTATCTTTTGTTTTTTAGCTACCAGAATTTTACTGCAAAACCTGGTAAATTATTTTCTATTAAACTCTGCACACATAACAAGCAGATATTTAGCTGATGCTAAAAATTAATTTACTTTTAAAGTGGACCAGGTAAGTGCGAGAAAGACACCTTCCGCCAGTTCATGGTCTTCTCTACATCTTGACAGATTTAAGCTTTTTCACTGATCGTAAAATATATTCTAATAAGTAATTTTTATTATTCGGTCGAAAGGCATGTCGGCTTGCTTATAGGGATCAGTCAACATTGATAATAGATTTTTCACATTTAATTAGTCGTATGACAAATACTTTTATATATAAGATAATTTCGTATCCAACGCTACCTAACTGACTATAATCATGCTTAAATGGGTAAGTATTAGAATATTTGCCATTAAAACTTATGTAATACAAATTCTAGTACTTAAATGCAATGGAGCATCTATAATTTGAAAAAAAAACGCAAAATTTAAGATCAAACAACATTTAATACTTGTCACAATAAAGAGGACAAGTCAAGGCGGCTCAGCAGCCCCAACTGAAGCACTGCGAAGAATCTTAAAGCGTATTCTTAACAAAGGGCACTCGTCCCAGGCCGTGTCCAATCTTTTCATCAATTCGAGGCAGATTCTTTCCTTTTGGATGTTTACTCCATTGTACTGCCCGATGGTAAAGACTGCCGGAGTCGTGGCATTGAAAAAGTAGTGCGTTGGCAGCGTGATCTGCGAAGTCAAAAGGTTGATTGAAAATGGAATGCGGTGGCGTCTTTTGTTTATTGCTGCGGGGGAGAATATGTACTAAGGTATTATAGGAAAGAAATTTAACTACATACGAGTACACTGTTTATTCCTTTTTGTTGTCCAACATGTTTTTAAAACCCTGTCTCTCATTAAACTCATCTGTATCGTATTATAACTGGTTTCATTTTTTTTGAATCCTTAAAAGACATGTAGAGAGTGAACAAAATAAAAAAATATAAATATGAGGGGATTTACGTTGTTGTTATTCGGGTGTGCAGTGTAGCTTTCAGAACTTTATGTACTCAACCATAGAAACTGTGACAAAACGACAGCTTTTAACCTATTATATTACGATATGAAATAGTCTGTAATCCTGTACACAAGCATTTACAGCAACGACGAACGATAAAGAAGCTGCTTACTTTTAATGTCACAACTATATAATTTCAAAATCATTAGAATTTCTGCCTTTGGATATTAACTATAGCGCATTAAGTTGGATATAGGTATCAACAGACTGATTATTTAAGATAAAACCTATCAATATTATGCGAAATGATCTAGCACTTCAAACATTATTGTTGTAAATATAATACCTAATACCTATTTTAATCAATTTAATTTAAAAAACGCTTCAATGATTACGATAAGACTTTAGAGCGGACACCACGAACCGTTGGCTTGCATTGAAATTCAGTAACTAAAAAGTACTGGTTCATTTATTAAAAGATTCCATCAAATTATCCCTGTACTTCATGAAATAAAAAAATCCCTTCATTTTCGGTATTCGTATAATGAAAACCAATCAATTCCGAAGGCAAACCGATAATTGACATAATTTGGAGTTTTAATAGTCTTGGAAACCAGGTACAAGATCCTGCTTTGGAATTAAAATTAATGATACGAAGGGAAACTATTTTGATGGTTATTATTTAATAATTACTAAAATAATACGGATATAATGAACGGCAACCATTGATCTTAAGGATTTGTATGAAGGTAGTTGATGAAGTCGAGGACCTTTTAAACTTTTGTTCATTTTTTTAAAAAGCAACCTTCGCACTAGGAACAAATCCTGTGTCGCGGGGGACTTTACAAACATACATGAAACGGACACAAAGGCCACCCAGACTCAAAACAACAATTTGTGGATCACACAAAGTGTCCTCCCATGTGGGGATCGGACACACAACACTCAGCGTAGTAGTAAGGGGCGTGGCGACAGCCTAAACCACTACGCCATCCGTGCAGTCTCCATCATTATATTACGGTTATTACTAGATGCGATAAAAAATAGTACGTATACGAAACCTAGGAAACAGAAAACACTTTGTTATTTAAAGGTACTTTGTCGATTTTAATGTGGTTTAGAATTTTTAAGCACTCTGGTACCCTTAATTGTTTAGTCCCATATATAAAAAGAAAGAAAGAACGTGCATTGTCAATTAATTATTTCAAAACAATGAAGTTTCTAGCCCCTTGTAGGTGTAAAATTAGCAATATCCAGTTCATCTCAACAAAAAAAGTAATTTATGACTCATGTGCCATGTTACTATATGTATATCTACCGCCAAAGGTTTGGACAAATTCAGCTTCGAATAGTTTCAATGGGAAAAATAAAAAAGGCAGTATTATGCACATAGAAATACAAGTCT